TTCCATGCAGTTTGATTTTTCTGGCACTTCTGGTTATTTATTGATTTTAGATTGGTTGTTATCTTTCTTTTGATTGTGTGAGGAAGTGAAGGGTTTCTACCTATGCCTCCTCCATCTTGGTGGGAACTCAGGTTACATTCTTTTTTAATGGCTCAGTTGTATTCTGTTGTATATATGCAGCACTTGTTTTTCATCCATTGATCTGTTGATGGACACGGGTTGCTTCCATATGTTGGCTATTGTACATAATGCTGCAGTAAACATGGGTGCATACATGTCTTTTTGAATTAGTGTTATGGGTTTCTTGGGATAAATACACAGAAATGAAATTACTGGGGCCGTCTTTGTCTGTTGTTAATAGCCTTTGTTTTAAAGTCTGTTTTGTCTCTTGTAAGTATTGTTACCCCATCTTTTTCTCTCATTTTCATGAAATACCTTTTCCCCTTCCTTTCAGTCTGTGTCTTTCGATCTGACGAGAGTTTCTTGTGGATGGCATATGTAAGGGGCTTGTTTTATTATCCATTTGGCCACCCTATTTCTTTTGATTAGACCATTTAATCCATTTACTTTAAAGTAATTATTGATAGATATGTAGTTATTGCCATTCTGTAGTTCACATTTTTTATCTTTATTTTTTTTCTTCTTCTTAAATAAGTCCCTTTTAAACATTTCTTACAATACTGGTTTGGTGCTGATGAACTCCTTTAGCTTTTTCCTGTCTGGGAAGCTCTTTATCTGTCCTTTGATTCTAAATGATAGCTTTGCTGGGTAGAGTAATCTTGGTTGTAGGTCCTTGTTTTTCATCAATTTGAATATTTTGTGCTGATCCCTTCTGGTCTCCAAAGTTTCTGTTGAGAAATCAGCTGACAGTTTTATGGAAAAGCAGTTTTATACAAGGGAGGTCCCATAAGACTGTCAAATGATTTCTCAACAGAAAACAACTAAACTGCTCTCCCCGCCCCCCCGCTGCTTTTAAATTCTCTCTTTGTCTTTAACCTTTGGCATTTTAATTATGACATGTCTTGGTGTGGGCCTCTTTGGTTTCATCTTGTTTGGGACTCACTGTACTTCTTGGGTTTGTATGTCTATTTCTTTCACCTGGTTAGGGATGTTTTCTGTCATTATTTCTTCAAATGGGTGTTAAGTTTCTTGCTCTGTTTCTTCTTACTGGTACCACTATGATGTGAATGTTGATACACTTGATGGTGTCTCAGAGACCCCTTAAATCAGTGTATCTCAACCTTTTTGGTACCAGGGATCAGTTTTGTGGAAGACAATTTTTCCACAGACTGGGGATGGGAGGTTGGTTTGCAGATGATTCAAGCACATTACATTCAAGCTCACTTCCTGGTGTGTAGCCCTCCTCCTGACAGGCCTGGACCAGTACTGGTCCACGGCCTGGAGATAGGGAGACCCCTGCCTTAAGTGTCTTCATTGTTTTGGATTCTTCTTCTTCCTCTCCTTCTCCCCACTCTTTTTTTGCTGTTATGATTGGGTGTTTTCTGCTACCTTACTTTTAAATCTCTGATTCCATCCTCTGTTTCATCTAATCTACTGTTGATTCCCTCTAAGCTAGTCTTCATTTCTGACTGCTTTTTTTTTTGTTTCCTATCTCTTTGTTGATGTTCTCACTGAAATCATCGAGCATCCTTATAACCAGTATTTTGAACACTGGTAGATTGCTTGTCTCCATTTTGTTTAGTTCTTTTCTGGAGTTTTGTTTTGTTCATTCATCTGTGACATGTTTCTTTGTCTCCTCCTTTGGCCTGCCTCCCTGTGTTTGTTTCTCTGTATTGTATTTGGTAGAGGTGCTGTCTCCCAATCTTGAAAGAGTGGCCCCTAGGGCCCCATAGCACAGCCTCCCTCATTACCTGAGCCAGGTTCTCCAGGAATATCCTTTGTGTACATTGTGTGTGCCCTGCTGCTGTAGTTGAGCCTTGATTGCTGTTGGCACCTCAATGAGGGAATTGACCCTTAGGCTGGTTGGCTGTGACTACAGCTGTTGTGCAGGGGCTGACCTTGTGGAGCATGATTTGCTTTATCAAGCCTCTGGTGCCTGCTAAGTCTTCCCTTTGAGTGTGTTGTTTGGTTGTGGTTGGGTAGTGGTTTGGCATGGTCTGACACCAGCTACCAGGTGTGGTATTTCTGGGCCTATTGGGAGGTACAGGTCAAGGTCAACTACTTGGGGCTGCCCAGCAGTGGGTACAAGGCATGCCAAGGCCAAATGCTGCTTATTTGGGGTTTGTGAACCTTTGAAAGATGTAAGGAACATCTGCAGCATGGGCTGTGACAGAACAGGCTGTTTGTATGGAAAAGCTAATGGAAGTGCCTTGAGTGGGCCATAAGGTGGGTGGAGTGGGGTCTCTGAGAATCACCATGGCAGGGTGAACAGAGTTTGCCTGGTTGATGGAGGCTCAGCCTGCTGAATCTGTGGGCTGTCTCAGCAAAGGAACAGTGGCTTCTGCCAGCATTTCTGTCTGGGAGAAAGCTATCCCTTCAGCTCTTGGCCTTATGTCAGACACTTTAGTTCCTCCCTGTGTGCCTCTGGTGCCTTTTGAGTTATTGCCCCTGCACTGGAGCTCAGAGTGAGTGAGTCTGAGTAAGTTTGTCATGAGCCCTTTAAGAGGAATGCCTGGGACTCCCAAGATGCTCTGTCTCACTCAGCCACTATCACCACTGGTTTTCTAGCCAGAAATTATGGAGACTTACCTTCCTGGCACTGGAACCCTGGGCTGGGGAGCCTATCGTGGGGCTGGGACCCCAAGGGGGGACATCTTGCTCCTCAGGGGGGGACATCTGTCTCCCCCTTTTTCACTGCTACATGTGGTGGTTGGATCAGCTGGTTCAGCATTTCCTACCCTCCTAACCAGTCTTGACGTGGCTTCTTCTTTATACCCTTAGTTACAGGATTTCTGTTTAGCTAGATGCCAGGCTGTTCTGTTTAGCTAGATGCCAGGCTGTTCTCATTGATTCTTGTTCTGTAGTTCAGTTGTAATATTGGTGTGGTTGTGGGAGGAGGCGAGTACAACATTTACCTATTCTGCCATGTTGACTGGAAGCCAGTAAATGTTTCTTGTAATTTAGAGCTACCCTTCTTTTCCTGTTACACCCTTACAAATGGAGGTTTTTTGTGTTTTTTTTTTATAAATGTGAATTTTCCTTACAAAAGGGTAACTTCTACTCTGTTTTCAGAGCTGCTTCTCTGTCTGCTGTTTCTCAAAGTAATCTTTATGCTAAAGAAGCATATTTGGGAACAGCTATCCTGCCACCCTTCACTTTTGAGATAACCAGAGAGCTAATTCCCTCACCTCTTTTAAGTCTTTGCTCAATGTCATTTTCTCAGTGAGGTCTGCCATGACCACCCATTTTAAGATTATAGTTGCTTAACCCACATATACTCCTATCTCTTTTACTCTGCTTTCCCTCCTGCCCCCTGACCAGTAGCATGTATCATCTTTTGTCATACTATATAGTTGACTTATTTTGTGTATTGTTTATCTTGTTCACCAGAAAGTAAGTTTTAGGGCAGAGATTTTTGGTGGTTTTGTTTTACTGCTGTACCTATCACATAATGAGTGCTCAATAAGTGTTTGTTGAATGAACAAACATGCTAGGGCTACTGTACTTTTGAGCTTGTTCTTGTTCAAATTCTTGGGCCCTATCCCAGACCTCCTGAATTAAAAACTCTGGAAATGGTATTCAACTACTCTGTTTTAACTAGGTCTCCAGGTCATTCTGATGCAAATGAAGTCTTTTTTCTTTTTTTAATTAAAGTTTAAGAACCACTGCTATATAATATTGAGCAGGATTTCAGAAGCCAGGCCTTTTTCTTACATGTGGAGCTATGTAGATATATGAGGTAATTGACAAATAATAACTGAGTTTGTCCTCCTCCCTCCCTTCTCATTTCCCTTTCTTGAGGAGGTAGCATAGGGAAAGAGGATATAAACTACAGTAAATTTTGGCTCATTTATCATGTGATTCAAGAAGTCCCCATGGTGGCATCTTTAGTGTCCATTGAATCATTAGGAGGACAAACAGGACTCAGCACGTAGTCACACTCATGGCTAAGATTTATTACAACAAAAGGGTATAAAGCAAAATCTGCTCTGGGCAGAAGTTTATGGGGCAAGGCCCAGAGGAAACCAGGAGGAATTTCTAAGAGTCCTCTTCCATTGGAGTCACACAGGACACATTTAATCCCTCCAACATCAAATTATAACACATATTAAGTGTTTTCTACCAGAGAAGCTCATTAGAGACATTATACTCAGGATGTTTTATTGGGGACTGGTCATATGGGCTCCGTCTGCCTGGCATGTACCAAAATTCCAGACTCCCAATGAAAGCAGGAGTTTAGCATAACCTACATTGTACCAGCAGTTTAGGCACAGTGAACCATTCTTTTCAGTTAGGGTGGTGGGAACCCTCCTGGAGTCCAAGTTCCCAGATGACGGCCAAGGGTCAGCCTTGCAAGCAGGCCTTTCTAAGGATAGCAGTCTCAGGCGTGTTGTGGTAACTTAATTTATACACAATGATATCCAAAGAAGTTTGTTATTTTTTTATTCTACTTCTTTATATGATATGTAAAACATTTAGACTTAATAGTTTCTCTTTAGGAAATTTAATAACAATTAAAATGCTTGAAAATGATTTGAACAGTGTAAGCAGTTTGAATAAGTGAGCTCATTTATTGAAACATTTTCTAAACAAGGCCTTGGAAGTATTATTTATAGTTTGTGCTGATTTTAGTAATTACAAAAGTGGTTTATTTCATGGTAAATTTTTCTTATTTATTCCACAAATAAAAAATACAATATTAAGGTAACTTTCTTAATTTTTCACTTGAAAAATGTTATGAATGTGGCCCTCGGCTTCAAATTAGACACTGATCTATTTCACCTCCATCTTTCAGTGTTCCAAAGGGCCTATTTGAAATGTGCCATCTTTGGTCTTGCTTTTTGAGTAACCAATCTTTTTCTCTTTTTTTTTTTTTATAGGCCAAGATGCTGAGTTGTCAGGGACACTTTCACTTGTTTTGACACAGTGCTGTAAAAGAATAAAGGACACTGTTCAGAAATTGGCCTCAGATCACAAAGACATCCACAGCAGTGTTTCTCGGGTTGGAAAAGCCATTGATAAGGTATGGTGTTGAAGGAAGTTTTTGGTATTTTTAAGCATCATCCTTCATCTCTTGTCACTGCTTTGATGACATTAGCTTTTACAAATTATGCTATTCCTTTCCTTTCTACTTTTAATAACTTACACAGATCTTTTTTTTTTACTATGTTATTTAAGTTACTGGTTGCTGTTATTTAAAAATCAAAAACAAAAAAACTTTTTATACCCTTGTTATTTACCCATTTGTTTATATGAATATAGTTCTTAATGTCATGATGAGTAAATTCCCAAAGAAATTTTAGCCTACTATGAAAGAGTTTGTTTATAGAAGTAACTTTTCCTACTTCCTTGAATAATTTCCTGGCTGTGACTCCGTCTGTGTTGTGGAATGATTAAAGAAATATCCTTGCATTTGTCTCCTGTGTATCACCCTAACTTCTGTTGTCTTTCTATGTGCATGCTAATTGGTTTTCTCCAGTATTGGTTTATATGGGTGGGTTGGTTGCTAGCCAGCAAGGCTGGTCATTGGTGTTGGGTGATTTTTATTATAACATCTCTTGAATTTTTGAATTAGTGGTTTACTTATAAGCAGTTGTCATTTGTAGCACTGAGTCAGTGCTAAAATTTATAGCCCTAGTAGGGCCTAAGAGAAGTGGCCTAAGGGATGATAATCCTGACCACTTCAGCCACTGTAGGGTTTGTGACTGGTTATGGACACTTTTGTTCACACACTGTAAAATTCTGGGAGAGTAGGAAGAACTTTTGGGAGAGCTCTTTGTAGCAAAGCCATCTCCTAACTAGTTGATTAGTTTGTACACACAAGAGCACTAACTATAATATAGAAAGAACTCATGGAATCCAGAGAATGGCTCTAACTCATGGATAAACCTGTTAGAAACTATCCTATGGAACAGTAGTATCGAAAGGCTAAATTGAGGCAGCCTAAGTCAGAACTATATGCTTCTAAGGAAATGTCATTAACTGGTAGGTGTGGTGTGTCAGGACAGTAAGGGGCAGGGGCTCTGGGAACTGTTTGGGTAGCTGTGGCTTACAGAAGTGTTAGTGACTTTTCAGAGAGCTTTGATCACTTCCATAGTGCTGAGGGCTTCGACTCAGCAAAAGAGACCAGAGAAGTGGTGTTGGTGGCAGCAGTCCCATTTCTGGATCATTGGTGGCTGTTGCCAGCAAAGGCTGGAAAGGCAGTGAACATTTTCGATACAGCTTTGAGGTTGTGATGCCTGATTGGTAACTCTGAGGGAGTGAACCAAGCTTGGGAAGAGGCTTTGGCATCAGACCTTTTGGGGCTATGGCACTGCAAGTCTTCAGTTGTTATGGGAAGTTACTATTGCTGTATACTAGCCTAAGGACATATTGGAATGGTGGTGAGGCACTGTAGAGATGATCTTTAATTACTGTGAGTGAGAAAAACCCTCAGTTTCTCTAGGGTGAAGTAACTACTGGTGGTGTTTAGGAAGCTTCAGATTTCAGTGGCTGGCAGTGACCAAGGTGTTGTAGTCTTTTTGATGGTTCAAACTCCAGAAGGTTCCTGGAAGGATTGCTTGACCACAAGGCTGCCTGCAGTCACGACAGAGGATGGGACAGCAGGATCAGAAGATGCCATGACAGTGAGAAGAGCTGAAGCCAGTCAGAAAAGTATCTTAAGAAATCCCAAAGTCTGGGAACAGGTGGGGACAGCCTCAGCAACCAGACCTCAAGTGTGTGGACTACTGGCCACCAGGATAAGAAGCATTTGGGCAAATAATTTACCAACTTTGCATTCAGTCACTGGTTTTCCCATTTCCTAGTTGGTGTCTGTTGTCCAGTCATACTTATCATCACGATCCTCTATTTTACTCTTGTCCCCTTAGCTACTGGTAACTTGTTGAGCATGTCTTCCACCTGATTTAGCAAGTCTTTACAAATGTTCATAAGGGTTTTTGCCAGGTATTTTTGGCTAATCTTTGAGACAAAGCATTTAAATGTATTTGGTACTAGAAATGGCAGTACCTCTTTGAGAAAGGATACCAAGAGAATACATAGTGAGTAACCTCAATTCTGGCTTTTTGGGTAGGGATGTGTTTAAGGTGAATGTTCCTAATTAACACATTTTAATTTACTCATTTGTCATTTGAAGACATTTATTTCATGTCTTTAGAAGTTACAAGGACTTTTTCAAGTAATTTTTTTGGTAGTTTTATGTTCTTATGAAAGTTGTTTAAGTTCTAGGTGACCTAGATTCTTCTGACCCATCATATGAAACTATGTTCCTAAGTTGATACTGAGAAGTATTTGTTGAATCATAGTCCTAGGCCAAAGGAAAAAGCCTGGATCTTTTAGCCTAGTTCTCTAACATCTTTTAGTATATTCTTTCCCAATTTTTACAAATTTTTATTTATTGATTTTAGAGAGAGAGGAAAGGAGACAGAGACAAACATCAGTTTCTTGTTCCGCTTATTTATGTATCATGGGTTGATTGTTGTATGTGCCCTGACCAGGGACTCAAACCCATAACTTCTGTGTATTGGGATGATGCTCAAACCAACTGAGCTACCCAGCCAGGGCTGGTTCCAATTTGTCTTTATTGGCATCTACTTGGACTCAGCTGTAAAGGAAGGTGTTTGTCCACAAGAACTACCTAGACATTGTTCATGAGCTTCTCACAAACATGAGGAACTCTGTGTAGGCTTTTGTCATAAGAGACTCCATTAACTTATAAGTCATGTTCTTCATCTTCTTTCTAAGTTTTGAACTGGTAAATTTGTACAAGTTTCCAGGACCACCTGCTGTAAAGGTTTGGTGGAATCTTATGGGAATTGGTGGTAAACATTCAGGATGGAGCTGAACCAGTTGTGGCACAAGCCTTTAGTTATTTTAAATCCTCACCTGAGGACCTTTTTTTTTTTTCCCCCATTGCTTTTAGGGAGAAAGGAAGGGAGAGGGAGAAACATTCATGTAGGAGAGAAACATCGATTAGTTGCCTCCTGTATGTTCTTAGACCGGGGATCAAACCCACAACATTTTGGTTATGGGATGATGCTCCAACCAGCTGAACTACACAGGCCAGGGCGTGGCACAAACCTTTGAAAACCACAACAGACAGACTTGAGTAATAACTGGAATGCTGTCCAGCATCCTGCGAGCACGTGTTGTAGACGAACAGTGTTCTCATCCTCCCAGGCGGACAGCCAGAGACACTGGGACTCCTCTGTGAGCTGGCATTCTGAGTAAGGAACTGCAGTAAATTTCTGACACACTAAATGATTTTTCTCCCCTTTAGTGTTTTAATGCTTCTAGTGTTCTAAAGTTATCTAATGGTCTCTAGTTATCACTTCTCTGAAAATGTAAGCAGAAAAGAAATTTGTGGTATTAGCCAAGGTGTTTTGTGTCTTTTAATGATTATAAACATAAAATGTGGAGGATTTCTGCTTTTATATTGACTCTTTTCAAATGTCCATAGTTTTATGATCATTATTTAAAATACATAATATTAGCTGTTGGGTTCTGTGGAAATATTTTTTTTTAAAACAGTGTGTTGGTCTGTTTTTAATTTTCTCCCCTATTTTCAGAAAATTTAGAACTCTCTCCTGTTAAAGGGCATTTTATTCAGTGTTTTGTTTGTCTTTTGACTTTTTAATTTACTTCCTAAGTAAGAAAAGTCAATGAAATGATTACCACTTTAGAGGTGCATGTGTGTGAAAATAAATGGTGCTAAGATTTTAAGGTATTTAAAATTTGTTGTGGGACCGTTGAAAGTGAGGTATGTAGTACATGTTATTTAGAAGATTGTGGTGTAGTTTGGCTTTTCATATATGTAGAAGAACGGAAAAAAATTCTGAGGAAACAGGGTTGGACTCTGCTTACTACAAAATAAAAGGAAGATCATTGTGCTATTGATTAATTTAAGGTTTGTGGAGTTGGTGACTTAAATTTGACTTGGAAGAATGGGTAAGATTTAGAGCAAGAGAACAGTCAGGTGTAGTTTCTGTTGGGCTGGGAGAGGGGCTGAACGACAATTGAGAATATGCTTAAGTCCTGTTAAAAACTCGCAGGGACTTGATTAGAGTGGCTGACCCTGTTGGGAATAGAGCAAGATCAGGTTGGGGGACAGGAAATGATGGAGGGCCTAAGGATTTGATCCAAGGAGAATTAGGGGAAAAGAGATTGAATGATAAAAGCAGTTGAGGCTGTCATTTACTGAGTGTTGAGTATGCTCAGTATATTTATTTATATCTCATCATGCAGGTACATTATTCCCCTTTTGCATATGAGGAAACTGAGACTCAAGAGATACTAACATACCCCAGGTGTACAGCTTCGAAGTGATGAATCAGGAGGTGGAAAAGATCTCAAGAATCTGTTCTTAAACACTGCTATAGTAAGAAATTAGGCCATCGCAGGGCTGGTGATGTTTTAAGGAGGAGAATAATGATTAAAAAAATTTTAAACCACATTTCCTTAACTGATCTTTTGCCGCTAGATGGAGTATGTACACTGGTGATGCAAATGCTGACTATACTGAAAAAACAAATGGAGTAATGCTATAAAAAAGTAGTATAGAATATTTTAAGATAGTTCTGGTGAGCAGTTTGAAACTGCCTTTTATGTAGATATGACTGAAGTATGAGAGGAGAAAAAACATACCAGAGGGCGATAATGTCTTGAGTTTAGCCATAAGTGGTAGTTTAGATAGACTATGTGGGTGAGGTCAGATGTTCTAGCTCTGAAGTTCTGTTATTAATGTAATGGGTAAATCCTTGTGTAGTAGAGAGATATTACTGTTAATGCAAGGGAAAGGGAATAACAAAGAGAAAATTCACTCAGTTTAAAAAGAAAAATTGCTGAGTTCTGATATATCTGATAGATAATTTGATATATATTTTAGGTAGAATTTTTAGAATTATTTGAAAGGAATAATAAAGTTATAAAGAGACAACAGCGATTAAAAAGCTAAGAACATTTTCACTAAAAAGAAAACATCAAACTAAGTCCCCTCCTCAGAATTACTAGTGAGTAATCCAAGAA